GAATATAACCCTCAGCAGTAGACTGACATTTGGTCCCAAAATAAGTTATCTAAACATATTTAAAGAATACATTTATCTAAAAAAAACAAAATCAAATAGAGCCCTGAACATTTCTAAAGTTACAGACCCGTGACGGTCCGGGTTAGAATATTGATCTTCAGTAACCCATGCTTGTCGTAAGAGGCGACTAACGGGATCGGGTGGTCAGGCTCTCTGGCTTGGTTGACACATGTCATCGGTTCCCAATTGCGCCGATCGATGCTCATGTTGTTGATCACTGGATTGTCTGGTCCAGACTCGATTATTTACAGACCGCCGCCATATAGCTGGGATATCACTGAGTGCGGCGTAAAACTCACTCACTCACTCTAAAGTTAGATGTATTTGGTTTAAAGATATTAAAAATATATGTATCTATAAGGAACAAATCAAAATGGAGCCCAGGACAATTCTTAATGTCTGCCTAGAGCTGAGGCAATCTAGACTTGCCAACGATTTTAGACTTGAGATACACTTGATGAATATTACTTTTTTGCTCGAGGGTCCAGGAGACAGACGACATTTAGCAGCAGCGTAGTCTACCATGCAGACCCTGAAACAAATATACCTAGTACAGCCTAAGCAAGGCTAGAATATGTGGCAAGTCTACATTACCACAGTTGCTGAAAATGAAGACAGTCTCTGGGTCTTTTCAATTTTATAAACATAATTTAGAAACCGTTTTTCTGTAAAATATCGTCATTTCAGATATTAGATGTTCCATAAGATCCATGTTTGTAGTTTCCGCGAAATCTGTCCGTCTGATACAGCGGATGCGGCGTTAAACATCATTCTCTCACAACTTGTCCCGCCAATGGAGAACATGCATAGTGTGTATAATGTAGATAAAGATTTCAAGCAATGTTGTTGTTTCATGATTAGGTGTGCAACAAATGGCATGTTTACTGACACGGGCATACAATAGCTACAAACCTATAATAATCTTGTTTGCATTTTAGAAATTGGTAAATAATAAGAAAGTAAGATGCTTTATGGATGACAACTTGTTTTATTATATATGAAGCGACGTTTCGGTATAGATTCTTGTACCGTCGTCAAGCAAGAGTGAAATCTATAATACGTGAAAAATGTTTTTTTAATTCATATTTTATTTATCTATTTTTTTAAATTATATTTTTTACGAGGAGCAGTCAAAAATTAAAGTTGTATGAGTAACCTATGTACATTGAATAAATGTTTCGTCAGGAATACTTCTAGGAACGTTAAGCTAGATGGTAACGTGATTGACAGGCCCACAGTGATCAGCTCCAGCCTTGAATCACGGGGGTGGACTAACACTTGTTAGGCCTCAATGCCCCACAGCACGGCAGATTAACGCCAGCGCTGAACACATTCGTTGGGCGTATTTACACCTCCACTGACCTGTGATTGAGCCGTCTCGCGGAGTAATGAGAGGATGGTCACATGACACCAGCCAGTCCATCTATTGGCAGTGAAAGCATTAGCCTCGATCAGCCTCCCCGCCGCCGCTGACCAATGCCAGATGACCTGAACTAGCTCTTCGTAGGAGGTAGAATGTGTCAGTTCATTTTGAGTCATTTTGAAATTCTTGATAATAGATAAGATAAATACAACAAGGCAGATTTCTTGTAAATTTGCATTAAACCGTGTTTCACCTTTAGAGAGGTTTCATTACTAAGACAGAGATTTGGACTGGCATATAATGGATAACAGCATTTGAATATCTGCCTAAAGTGTTGGTACAATAAATGATTTTGTTATCAACATCTTGCATCAAATGAATTTATTCATATGTGCAATCAGTCTGATAACAGAAACTGTTTTAGAAAACAAAAACTTTCTGGGAACACAATATCAGGTCGTATTAAGATAAATAACTTTAAATACGAGTGTGCTGGGTTTAACGACGCTCCGAGTTATGAGGATAAGGTGATTCAATTTCCAAACATATCAACACAGGACGTGTTTTCAACTGATAAACCAATACATTTGAGCCATTAACGTAAATAAAAACTTCGCAGATCAACAAGTTGTGTCATAACAAATCGACGTATTCGGTTGTATATATTCTGTATTCTCTTGCATGATTTCCACGATCTTACCTTGTCAATGAAAACCTGAAACCAGGTTCGGCGGAATACTTGTTATTTCACACGAGGGAAAATTGTATTTGATATTCGAGATAAATATTGTATGTAAATACCGAATACAAAAAAAAAGAATATATGTTCCTTGCTCTTGTGTATATTAGAGATTCTAAAATTAGTTAGATATACACACTCAATTTTTATTACTCCTTTTAAATGTTGCCATATTGTAAACATTGAAAATACATAGGTGTATCTCGTGTACTACCGTGGGTGAATTTCTTTTCGAAAATACATGATACAGAGTTTGATAAATCGTGTATAAACTGCTGGTAATCTTCAGCAAGCATATCATACGAGCATATACAATTTTAGGTGAGTGAGTATAGTTTTTTGGCCGCATTTAGCAACATTCCAGCAATATCACGGCGTGGGACACCAGAAATGGGCTTCACACTTTGTACCCATGTAGGGAATCAAACCCGGGTCTTCGGCCTGACGAGCGAACGCTTTCTATGCTACCCAACCGCCCTTACAATCTTAAAAATACGTGTATGTATATCATCCCAATTGAACACGTATCTCCCTTAGCGGAAGAATGGTTGCATGTTCACGAGCACCAGGTGTCATGAATAGCAGGGATCCGTTCACATTATTTTCAGCCTTATTCTGAACAGTATTTATTTATTTATTTATTTATTTATTTATTTATTTATTTATTTATTTATTTATTTATTTATTTATTTATTTATTTATTTATTTATTTATTTATTTATTTTTTTATTTATAAGCTATGCGCTGACCTTTTATATTCGAAACGGAAAATGTTCACCAAAGTGTTATATATATTGGCATCACATGAATCCTTCTATAACTCTTGCGGGGCGGTGGGGTAGCCTAGTGGTTAAAGCGTTGGCTCGTCACGCCGAAGGCCCGGGTCCGATTCCCCACATGGGTACAATGGGTTAAGCCCATTTCTGGTGTCCCCCGCCGTGATATTGCTGGAATATTGCTAAAAGCGGCGTAAAACTAAACTCAGTCGGTCAGTCTATAACTCTTGCAAACAGTTAAAGTGTCACGTCTATACCAGCAAAGGTCGCTGTTCCAGGTGAAAAGCACATTCATGCCATTGTAAATGTGTAATTGTGACATTATAAATCTTCATGTGAGGTGAGTTGAGCTTCCTAGATAAGTTCCGATATCATGCTTGACTGTCTCATGGATACATGTGTAAAATAATATACACAAACCTAATGCAATGCCCATCTATAGTTGTTTTTCCTCTGTTAACTTTAACGATTAACCGAGCAAACTGTCACTTGAAAGATCAGGCGGAAAACAAAATGTAAGTTTTACACCAGTGAGATTACATTCACGTTGAACTTGATCAACTCCGTAACAGTGCTTACGCCGCCGCTTGTACTTTAGAAGTGACACAGTGTGGCATATGCTCCATAATTTGTCCTATGGCGAGACACGCGAAGGCTGAGGAGCGGCCAGGGAACATTTGTGTGAACAGGGACCGTGGTGTGCATAGAAAATGGCAAATGTACTTTAAGAGCGGTTCGTTGGGGAAAGATTTCCGCCCGTAACCCCCTGATTTTTGATCATTCTATGCCTAAGAATGGATGTTTGTTTATTTCACAGAACCCTAACCCTAACCATAAATCTAACCCTAAACCTAACATATGCTAAATCGGAACCTTTAACCTAAACACTAACCCCTAGAAATAATCATAATAAATAGAACACATTTCAAGCGGGGGTTACGGGGGGGAACTCTTACCCAAGGGTAAGAGTTCCTCCCGTTCCCCATCCCAAAAAATATTTATAAATATACTAAAATTATTAACAAAACTTAATTATATTAGGGTTAGGTTTAGAGTTAGGTTTTGGGTTGGGGAACGGAAGGAACTCTTTCCCGTTCGCATTCGGCCATGTAGAATAAATATATTTTCGCCTTTCTTGAAATATGGATACACGCATTGAGTGGGTTGTTTAGATAATACATGTTGTGTAATAACCTCATCATTGGTTTTCTGTTCAAACAATTAGTAACTAATATATTCCAAAAGTAAAAGACTTTAAAATACATGAATTGGAATTGCCCAAAAGTAAGCCGTCAATATCGACTATAGAATTTCACGAGTTGTACATACCCAACAACTCGCTATTTAAAGAATACATAGATTAAATTGCTGCATAAATAATGTTGTTCAAAGAATTCACTTATTGTCTGTCTAGAGAGTCTCTGATGTACACAATATGAATCAGCTGACTGATTCTCATCTACATCAGCAGAACATAAAAATCCGAAAAAAGAGGACGATACAATACACCTGCCTTTGAAAGGAAACAATATGCCGTCTATATCTACTTTCGCATATTCTCCTCTTGACTTCGTGGAAGATCTTTAGAATACTCCCATTCAAGCTACACTCAGTTCATGACGTGGGTTTAAAAAAATATGACAGTTACCGACAAGTGGTTAGACGTCATTCAATTGTAGTCACCTGGTCACATGCACGGGCTCACAAAATCCAACAAATCGTCATATTTCTTCAACCCAGCCCAACACCATATTGCTGTATGGAGGCTGTCATGGTCGCCTGAAATCAACATCACCCGCATGCATAACTACAATTTCACTGCCACACCACACTGCCTCAAGTCAAATAAGTAATTTACTCGTTACGTAATCGATTATGCAATAGCTCGTGGCACGAGCGATCCGCTTTCTAAATGCATGGCTACCCACTGCAATTTACCCTTTGTGAAACACGAGACCTCCTGAAGAAAGTTGCATTTTTATACATAATATAAACATAATAGCGAATTCGCAATTTACGCTTTTGCAAAACAATTAATCATATTCGAGGTACAAGCGTCCTCTGTTCGCCTATAACGCGTGCTCCCACTGCGCGGCTTCATTGAACAAGCCAGATGCCCAGCCAATCACCAAGCGCAGTGCACACCGACTGACCAGTACAGTTTGAAGTGACCATCACAGCACGCTGACCGCTGGGCTGAGAAGAGCGAGGGACGCTGTGGTAAGTATATATACCTGTCTGTACTTTCTGTCCCATATCACTTCCCTATTGCGTGGCATTTATCTAACCATCACGTAACGAGTTTTCACATGATAGTGCAATTATTACCCATTACGTATCTGGTTACGTAACCCCTCCTGGTGACCCTTGTTCTGCCCCCCGAATGGCTGCCCGGAGTTTGTTTTGTTTTTACATCATCGCTGTCAAATAGCGTTGTGTCATCGTTATAGTACGAGATTTCGGAAGCGTTCTCAAACTACGTAAGTATTATTACGTGAAGCGTTTCGTCATCGTGTTCACCAGTCAATTAACAGTCTCAATGCTTTCTTTATACTTCGATAACTTGTTTTGATAATAGCAATATTTATATTACACATACGCCTATTATATCATGGGTAATTTTGCATGATAGGTGTAATGGCTATTTCATAATACTTTCTTGTAGACATATTACATATGCGCACAGGTATATAGGACGACAGACTTACAATGAATTAGTGGGTTCCTCTTGAGGTAAGACACAGCGGTACTTACCCGATACGACAGTAATATCATAAAATGACATTGCTGGGCAAATGCAGCCAGACAGACAAGTATACTACAAATAAACGCAATTTTCTTTCAGAATTAGAATTAAACTTAGACATGCGTTTTAATGAAAAAGATACGGCTGTAAATTTCGACTTGACATTGGCATATTTACAATTCTAAAATAATATACAGACAAACTTTATGGATAAACAACTTCTTTATTCAGATGATGCAACATTTCGATACAGATTCTTGTATCGTTGTCAAGCAAGTCAACTAAAATAATAGTTGATACTTTTGAAGTAGTGTTAGTTTCAGAGACCCGACTTTCGTGAGCAACTTGTATCGTCACTGATTTTCAGTTAGCCTCCACACATTTTACCGCTGTTTTACCTTTACCCCGATAGGGTCAGTTTCGGACACTGGTTATTCTGTGCTTTACGTTTCATGTTCACACAAAATTATTCATTGTCAGAAGAACGGCATTCTATTTTACAAGTAAACCCAAAAGTCAAATCTGTATCCTCATTATCTAAGTATTTATGTTTATTCTATCTGCGTAACTTAATAAAATCGACATTGATGAATTCATGCACCGAAACTACCCCATTCGTCTATACATGTGTAAATGATCCAAATGGCTTTAGATATAAGACAAAAAGTATCAGTCTGTTGTTCAATAGTACACTAAACGTTAATGCACTTTCTGAATGTGCACTGTGCACGCAATCAAAATAAGGTCACAATCAAAGACAAGGTTACAATATATTTAGAAGCGACGTAAAGTCTCACACTTTCTACGGATAAGGTCTCTACAATGACGGATATAGCTTGCTTTTGAATTCATTAAATGAGTAATAAAATCTGACGATAGATATTTTTGGCAGGGAGATCTCCAAAAGGTCCCGTTGTGTGTCATAAACGGCAGCGGGTTCACAGAGCCGTGAGCCTGTGAAGTAACGGGGAAATATACAATGTACTCTGTCGGATAAGGTAAGACAAAACCGTTACTTTCCTCGTCAGTCGGATCAGAGAGTCCCGAGAAATTAAAAAGATGAAAATGAATTTATTCTTCTCTGTCAACTGAGCTAAATATTGCAAGAACAAATAGAATACCACAAAAGACAGTTCTTCAACATAAGTTAATAAAATAGTTTGGAAGAGCATGTACATGTATGTCAGTATATTTTGTAGGGCCATTCGAAGAGTGAAATGAATGTTTTTCACAGTCAAAAAAGAATATACCTGAAACAGAGTCAGTGGTTACCTTTGGGGCACTTAATCTATTGCCCTCTCATATGAAGCGCCAAATGAAATCCGAAATATTCTGATATACAAACAAGTTTCATTATAACCTTCCGAAGACATACAGCTATTTAAAAATTCCGTTTCACCCGAACAATAGGAGACTGGCATATTAGTATAGGAAAATATCGTAAGTATTTACTCCAGATTCCCCGCACTGGATGGCACATGTTATGGTTTATGACTCTCATTCTTCACACCCTACCTGATCATGTTCACCCCACCCCAAAACCTCCACACACATCTTACCATTACCACTCCCACCCCGTACTTGTCAGACCCACCTTTATCCTGGGTTTGTCATCTATGACCTCATGCGCTCTGCAACCTGTGAACTACCTGATATCTAAACCAAACACCCCTTGACTACCTTTTTCATCTTACCGACAACATCCATCATCATCATCATCATCATAATCATCATCTCACTTTTGGGCTGATCGTGTTTATTCAGGGTGACAAATCATACATTCATTTTGCATGCATTCTTCACTTTGCGGGAACTTGAGCCAATTGTTTATGATTGTTGTTTGTTTTTAATGGATCGTATTGGGTGCCGAAGTTATTCATGAAGAAAAATACCCCATAACAAAAAGTAAATAAATATTATGCAAAGAAATTACTAAAAAAGTTCTATAAAGTATTTAAAGAGAAAACGTGTGTTTTCAACAGTTCAACAAACTAATAATTCAAGAAATCCTTGCATTCCTAATTTATTGATGCGTATGCTGAATTTCACCACTTCATCAATATGAAATATACGTCATATTGTGGGTTATGAAAGGTACAAGGCACATTATCTCAACGAATAGCAGCATAGACATATTATTCTTTGTAAGGTGATTAATTTTACATAGAAAACTGTTAATTGTGTTTGAAAAACATTACGATGATTTCTTTTAAAATACCAGGTAGGTTTCTTTCCAAAAGAAGCTATATAAACACTCGCGTGCCAACGATTCATCAATAGATATACCCTGCTCCCAACACGGTTTGTACATACACCCAGTGATGTTGAATGTGTAATGTACATTGGGTAGCGCTTTGGGCAGTGTGTGGAGTTGAGGCGGTGCGATACCTACGATTTTGCCATCATTGAAATCTGCCCCGGAGCCTGCCGTAGAGCTTCTATACATGACAACAATAGATTTCAATATTGGCTATATTAGATGACCATGCTATACATGGAACTAACAATAGGCAACTTTAAAGCGGCTTTCTCCTCGTTCACAAAACGGCCCTGAGAAAAAACTGTGGCCTCTTTATGACCCTCCGAGAATCTCTAAATCTGATGTAGTTGACGATGTGTATACTACACTATTGTTTGCGATCCGATTAAGATTTTAAGGCGATTATTCTCGGGTAAATAGTAAAGACTGGGGCAACGGTGACGGCAAACTGGGAGGGGGCACCAACTTTGGGGGGACCGCAAATATGGAACCGGGCAATATGTTTTTAGATAATTATATCCAATCACTGTTATGGACCACTAAAAACTACCTGTCATGGTACACGTAATAATTCACAATTGCAAATGGCCAGCACGGTGGGGAAATTCGACCACTCTTAATTATTTATTTATCTAACGAGTTTTGCAGGTTTTTGATATTTTGTTTATGAAAACAGTTTATGAGATTAGTGATCGACCACTTCATATTCCGGTGAATCAGTCCGTTGGAAAATAATGTTTGTCAGAAAAATTACAATGTTGCTTTTGTGTTCCATGAAAAAATAAATACCTGATAGGAATATCTTTACAAATCCGTTCTACTAGTCTGTCTCGCAGTCCCTATACCGCAGTATTTTCGCTTCAGCCCTGCCCTATCTGTAGTGCTGAAGCCCTAGATGAAGCAAGTCTAGATTCCCTCAGGTTCTGAATCTCCCGTCTCACTGGGCTATTTTTCAATATAAACGGAATTATTTGTTTCTATCACAATTATATATATTCAGAGACTAAGCGTTGGTCTACCTTTCTACATGTGAGACAAGTTTGCTTTATTGATGGTCAATTTCTTTAAGCAGGTATTTAGTAAATGTACTTGCGAAACAGTATCGAAATTATGGCGATATTCTTTATATCAAACATTTCACTCGTAGAAGTGAGTTGTTATGTATATGAAAAAGTTCATGAAATATATGAAATAATTCATATGAGCCACGCAATTGGTCAGAAAAAAAATTGACGGGGGAATAAAGATCGTCCACTTATAATAAAATAGCATCGGTCACAAATTGAAAACAAGAGAAGTACGTTAAAAACAGAAAAGAGCATTCAAATCACCATAAAATGAATTTCCCGTTACAGATAGTTCCAATCAAATTGTTTTGGGTTTGTTTGTGTTGTTGTTGTTGTTGTTGTTGTTGTTGTTGTTGTTTTGTTTTTTATTTTCCTATAAGATTTATCACAAATTCATCATTACCACTACGCAGGTAAGCACATATGTATCCATGGTTTTCACAAAAGAAATATGTTTGTGCATCTTTCATTTCCGTGGCTCACTTTTCACAGTTCTTTGGTAATCTGCCCGTGGAAGGCGAGCGTGGATGACAGGGGTTCACTAATACGATACTGGTGTTACCCGACTAGAGTTCAGAAGGGGTATACCTTCATCTGACGGGTTGTAATTGTTAACACCGTTTTCCTTCACTACTTAATTATCCATAATTAACCGCCTGAACCCGAGAAGTCCGTCAGTGAGATCAGATACACTAGGAGGATGAGAACAAGCAGGTATCCTTTGATATCAGATCTCAATTATTGATGATGTAAGAGAACTCTATCTGTACCCCCAGAGAACACGTGTCGTAAATTAGAGCACCACGGAACTAGATCGGTACTAAACACAAGCCCTTAGTGAATATAGTTACCATCCTGACTAACAGCTGAGCCAAACCCTTTGAATAAGATTTTGAAACTTAAAACCCTGTCTTCTTAATTCTGTTAATGAAATCATATCAGTTGAAGAAGGCCGATTTTGACTTGGAAAATAGTACTATTAATTGTTTGAAGTTGGTGACTCAGAAATGAAACATACAACTTTATGGATGACAACTTCTTATTTATTGCATCAAGCTAAAACTTGATAACGATGTACGAATCTATATCGAAACGTCGCTTTATGCACTTGATAACGATGTAAGAATCTACATCGAAACGTCGAGAT